ATTTTTCTCAGAAGCTTTTTTACTTCTAAGTAGATAATTATCTTCCTGATCTGCATCTAACCATCACCCAAATTATAACACATGAGCTATGGAAGTACAAGAATCCCTACAATCAATCGGCTCTATATAAAACCCATCCAATCATTAGTTACGCAATGTCGTTGCTAGAAATCTTTACTTACTCTTATCACTGTTTTGTTTAGGGTCGTCGATCTGTTATATATGAGTATCTTACACACCCTAGAGTCTGGAACTTTGTAAACTACGTGAATGACTACATAAAATATCTAGATGTTTTTCTTTTTTTGAAATTTTCTAATTGGCTTCCAACATTTTACCCTTCGTGGTTAGTTATTACTTCAACCTTCTCTGGTAGCACTCTTGATTAGACGAATACCAGTTTTTTTCGGAGACAGATACATCTTTAGCATCGATACGAGGGATGACCATCACATCAAGAAATCAAACTGTCGAAAAAGAATTGGGTTTCAAGACTTACAGCTGAAAGCCAGAATCCATACCTGAATTGGTCAGCCCTAGGACTTATAACATCAACAGCAAGGAATCATGTTAAACCGGTCTCAACTGCCATTAGAACGTATAGTCTTGTGATATCTCTCAAAAAGAATTATATTTTTCCGGCACTACATGAATTATTTCATTAACACACTAGAATCTACTTCAAGCACTGTGATGGATAGGGGTATTTCAATTAGAACAAACGACGAATCCCATAAATAACGCAATTTGATCCAGAAGAACTATATAAGCGCGAACGAAGGTATTGTATTTAGAATTCGAAATCAAGTAGTCATCAAGTACATAATAATCATTAGTTCATACAAACACCACACATACACAGGCTAAAATTCATTAATTATTCCCAATATATGATGATCGCGGAACAGAACAACTCTAGCAATTAACCAGTAGTACTTCGGCTTCTTAATAAAATCCAGGGATTCACCACATATCTCCACATCGCTATCAGTGAATTTCATATCTCTATACGCAAATTCAGATAATGTATCACTAGGAGCTTCATATCTCCATGAATCTTCAGTAAAACCATAAATTATTGAAGATCGATTTTCAACAAATGTCTTAAATTGACAGTTTTTATTACCGATGCAATCTAAGATAACCAAGAACCTGTCCAAAATGTCACATCTCGAAAGTTTGTAGCATGGAGTTGAGTCGTGATTGACTATGAACACCATTACAAGTTGAGTGCGCACCAAACACATCAGAAGGCGAGAATAGACTGTAACCAAGTTTATTCGTTGGAGATCTCGTGGTATCGAACGGATACCAAGATCGTGCCAAAAGAGTACAAGTGAATCGACAGGAAGTACTACGTGCCCACAGAGTCACAAACAGCGCAAAATGTAACCGAGGCCAATGAAAGGGCAATATGACTGTCATTAGCACAGTTAAACAAACGAGCACAGTAAAACAATCACTGGTACAATTGGTTATAATAATAATTGTTTTCATTGAACCAATTGCGTTCTCTTGATAGAAGTAGGTCACTAAAAACTCACATTTTACACAACATGTAACTGACTCCATACACGAGCCTCAAAACTGCTACATCATGCTCTAAATGTGGCAACGCCTTCATCATCAAGGATTTTACAATTGCTTTCCGTACGATGAAGTGAGAACAGGCTTCCGTACCAGGGGTATTGCAGCAGGCATATGATACAGCCCAATAACCGTTTAAAGATTCAGCATGTAACTTTTTAGGCTTCACAAGTGAATGGTTCATGAGGAGCATTAACTCACACTGAGAAAATCTAATGCTCGCCACGTTCCGAAAGTCACCCACAAACTCAAGTCAACAAGATCTCCCCCCCTTCGGAAACTCCTCGTTGCCGCCTAACACTGATCTGAACAAGGTAAAAATCAAACGGTACAAAGTCACAAGAACAAATAAACAAATTTAAAAGTTTGAGTGAAAGAAATACACCTAAAAAACATCAAAAAGAGACAGCATTCCAAAGTATTAGTTTCCAGTCATTTGAAAAATTTGAGTTCCCCTCGTAATAAATATAAAGGGTAAGACAAATAGGTAGATAGGTAGTGATAGCTAGGGAATCGATTGAAATTATATTTAACAGCTCCGTATATATTGCCTTCAAATTAATCAAAGAATTGTGCACGATTTAACATCCAGAACTGACTTAATGTATTTCATGTTCAGATAGAGTATTCCAAAATTAGTATACAGGTGTATTTTCAACATATCTGTCCCAAAATATATCATTAAATAAATGTAAAAGCACTTTAAATGTTTGGCAATTCTCCTAGAATACATTTGTTATGGTTGAACAAGAAGTTAATACCTCTCAAAAATACCATGGTGAGTCCTTCTCAAATTTAACTCAACTAAAAACAATCATAACCAAAATGGTTTAAATCATCCATCAAATGAAAACGTTAACGGTTACAATGGTGTGGTGTTTGAATGAATTAATGACTCCTTTGTACTGGTTGAATGCCTGATTTCGAATTTCAAATACAGTACATTCGTTAGTGCTTGTGTCGTACTTCTTGATTCAATTGTGTTCTTTCTGAGATTCTAAGTTCATACTATAATTCAAATACTTATAATTATCAAAAATGCACATGTCTATGTACAAACACTGAACAAACTACTGTGCATTGACTGCTATATGTTAGTCAAAAACAACTATCAACAAACTTGCGGGTAAGAAATCCGGATCAGGAACCAATATGCCGATTCATTTTGCGAAGGTTTAGGATCAATTACAGCTGCAATCTATCACTGCTCAATCTTCTGGCTTGATGATTTTCTTTCACAACATACCAAGCCTCGGAATCAAAAGAACCGGTACCTAGCATTAGACCAATTCAGCGTTTCTAATTTAGATTGGAGCGTTTGTTTTTGATTGCATCCGACAGTTCTTTCAGTATCCGGTGTCTTACGACCGTGTTGGAACATAATCTAGCAGAAAACATACCTTAAAATGCACGCCATGGTTTAAAATAGTGATCTTCATACTCATACACGAGTTTGAGAATATTTTGTATCTCATTCATTCATCGTCTCTTGCTTACAATGATCATTTATTTTTCTGATTCAGCTCCGAACTTGAGTCATAGTATATGATCAGATTTAACCTCGCTTAAATATATGACGAGCAAGTACATCAACCACTAAGGAGTATTGTCTGGACGAACCGGTGAGATGGATCAACTCCTTCGTATATGAAGCATGGTTCATGTTAAAATATAAATTTACTTTCCTAACACCCCCCCTCTTCAAATCACATTTAATCCCATTTGAAACTACCGGTTTCTGCCATGAATAACAAAGGAGACAAAACACCATCGTATACATAGAATGAGATTTGGAAGCAAGTTCATTTTTACTGGCTATGAGTCACTGTGACGATTAGAAGTATTCGAATTGTTATACAAACTAAGAATTCCTGAAATAACTCAATTTAAGTCAGGTAGAACTAGGTGAGCACAAACAAACATATTGTATTTGAAATTCGAAATCAGGCACAAATTGACAACAAAAAGAAACATCAGTTCATACAAACACCACAGTCACTGACCGTGAAACCACGAGAGCCTGCCCAGTATATTAAAGGAAATGGCAAGCCAACAATAGTGAAAGAAAATATAAACAATTCGAAACGACATTAGCGATAGTCAACGTTGTCATAAAAAAAATCAACAAGCCAGCGTTGTGTCATTTAACCGATTCGTTTAAAACACATCCATTAAATTTAACGTCGTTTCGACTTATAGTAGTTCCACGACCACAGTTAGCGTTACAGTTTAATGTACACCAATTATTATAATATAGTTAGGATCAATATACGGTGATATATGTTGGTGCTTATTTCAATATAGCGATTAGCGTTAGTAAAATTAGACTGTTGGTATCGACTAAAAAGAATGTTTCCAAATTGTGATTCAATGCAACCCATTGAAAGCCACGAATAGCTAAATGACATGTTAATTATGATTAAATCTATCAACAACTATAATGACGATTTATGTTTTTCGAAAAGTGACATTCATAGATATTGCACTGAAGAACATATAATGCCGTATTTATTTAAATAAAATTGCGGTAGAATTAAGCTAAGTCTGAAAATGAAGATAGTTTGCTTTTTGAATGTGACCAGTTTCGTAATGAGTACAGATTCTCTTAAACAAACATCACTACATATGGCTTTGTGCTAAATGTGGTAATCAGAAGAATAAAATCAAAATTATCCGATTATAAATCAGAGTTTACATAATAATCAAAGAATTTTCAAACGGCATAAAACAATCTAAAGGAAATGAAAATAAAGAGTTATCCATATAGAAAACGTTATGCACTGAACTCAAAGACTCGAAGTATTTGTACATTGTATATTCAGCAATTCAAAGTCAATATGTTAGCAAACAAAGGTTGATAAAATCAAAATTTGTTTTACCTATTTAAAATTATCTTTGTGATGATAACTTAAATTACATAGTTTTTATCAATAATATTACTATCTTAGCTGTAACGATAACCGCAAACAACGCTTTTATTCAAATCTCTTCACTATCATTGCTATCTACTAACCGCTTACTATCAATTTTAGCTGACTGCTTTTAGCATGTCTCAAAGGTCATAGGTATTTTTATGAATACAGAGTTGTTCTACTTCAGAATTGAATTCTGGAATACCAAGCTATTTCTGTAATCGTGTCACATACTTCGGTTTCATTGTTCAAGGAAAGTTGTTGGAGCCTTTTTGTATGTCTTTGGATGTACTATTGGGTTCTCATTCGTTCTTGACCGTGTCAAAAGTATCCCTATCATTCATCATTAGAACAACAACGTAGACCGATCAAAACGTTTGTCAAAATTCAACATTTACAGAGAATACTTATCCCAGTTTATCTATTCAAAAATTATTTCATCACTAGGCCCAATCACAGGAGAACAATTGATTTTTTAAGCGTCATGTATCAACGGAAGTATACATAATGAATGTTTATTGATGAATTAGGTGCATACATATCTTGGACGCCTACATGAAATTCGCATAGTTTCATGAATAAATAAACAAATTAATTAATTAAATAAATAACCTCAGTTAACAGAACAACAGTGTACCCAGTCTAAACTGTTGCCACAATGTTCCAATAACTTCGCATTTTTCAGCTAACATCATTAAAACCTTTTATTCTTTCATACACATACGTGGCATTCTTTTGTTTAACAAAATAGAAAACAATCAAACTTTATTCGGAATCCAAAGATTAAATCTATTCACGTATTAAAGTTAGTTTATAATTTGAACGACAATTCGGAATACTTTAATTCAATGATTTAACTTCTATGACGTGTTTTACTTCAAAGTAATCGATGGTTAACTTATTCATATATTTGCTTGATTAATATTGAGTAGTTTGTTTTTAACAGCTACAGTTTCAAGTATTACTTCTTGTAAATTGGTCAAAGCAGGATTTTGTTCGACGTTGAAAGCTTCACTATGGCGGGATTATTCTGAATACCTGTGCGAAACAAAGATAAAAGAAAAAGACTTTCTGAGAAAATGTCCCGTTTTCATTCAATTTTCTAAAAAAACAATTAAAACTATATTGTGAATGGAAACGACGTGCACCAGGAACTCGAATGTCGTACGCATGCGAAATTATCCGACTGATATAGTTCGCCCAAAACACCATAGTCTCACAAAGCGCTTTTGTTTTTGAAGTTGCAGTAAATAAAATTTGTTATCTCAATAGATACATTAGCTTTTATTTTATCATATTCTAATTAGGTGCTGATGACACTTACTGTCTTTGTATCAAAAATAAAATAGAATTGGACGTGCTTTGATTGATTATAATCAAGTATTTTCTGGTTAGTTGAAAAGTGTTTTTCGTTCAAATCACGAAACAAATCTTTTACTAAGTTTAAATCAGCATCATATGAAAGCGAACAACCAATCACAACGTCAATTTACATATAACACAGCCAACATTTTAGAAAACAGTTTGGATCGAATGATTCAGTACAAACAAATATAGATATTAGTGTCAGGAAGTACTAAATTTCAATTTATTTAACAAAAATCTACTAGTCCCCCTTCGTTTTAATGAGTAAATAATAAATTATGGCAAAATTGAAGTCAGTAATATCATCAAAAATCATAAGGATTCAGCTTATCAAAATTTATTCGAGTAAAACAAAGAACTTGAAGTTGAAGAAAGAGAAGATGATAAGAGTTTTAAGAATATTCAAAAGTATGTTGCCAATACTGAGACTATCCATATTAGTTAGTGGAAAGGGAGTAACTGTTAAAAATCCGGTGACCATTAATGCAATTGCAAGATAAGAACCCATTATCCTACAAACTATCCATGTTACATAATGTTATCAGTGATCAAACCTCAAGAATATGGATAGACCTCACTGACTAGTCCCATATATCATGAAGCTGAGACAGTATAGTAATTATGGCAGATTTAAAAGTGAATGATGTATCTACTCATACTGAAATCACAATTAACCAACAGCAAGTTTACGTACTCTAATTAAGTAGTGGATATAATTCACGGTATTTGAGATATGCGAAGGAACCATGAAGAGCTATCCATAATGGACTGAAATTTAGACAGAGAATTTATGAGGATTTCAAAATATTTACATTCGAGAGGTCATCAGAATTTATTATGAACCGACTAAATTTTATATTTAACAGACCGTATTAGTGGCAGACATGTACTGATATTACATAAACATATTCCGCGCTAGATGATTAATCAGTGGTTAAAGAGAAATTGTGGGCTTTAAAATGTTAGTATCTAGCAGAAAACAGTAAACATATGCATCATTCCCAACATGTGTTCATCAAAGTTAGGACATCGATTCGCGCCATTTGATAAAAACACCCAACTCATCTACAGATTACACAATCTGTAACTTGACTATCCGACACTTTTCTTTCAGCTAAGTGAATACACTCTTAGCAATCAATGAGAAGTCAGTGATGTTGATGTGAAGATAAATGAATGCATTCACTTCGTAGTCGATTTTATCGTCTGTCATCCAAAGAGGATTTTAGTTGCTAAAATTCCATGAACCAGCACCAATTTGTCAAAGTCAGTCACCAACCTCCAAGCAATATACTATTACATTTTTCATCTTCGGAAGGCAAACAAAACCGAAATTCCCTAACCAACTCCACAGTATTTCTCAAGGAAGAATATTTGAACAACCAGACGAATAACATAGCGTATATCTGTGGAAGTGTCTGAGGGAAAACGGACTGCATCACGCTTCATCAGCATAAAAACTAACAAAACGTATGGACCAACTTAGGTTCGTGTGAAAATTCTCGGAGTTCTGGTGAGAAGTCGTGACCAGTAGAGCTAATCCGTGTCGGGTAGAAACAGGTATCTACCTCAGTACAATGGAAGATGGTGGCGCAACTTCGTGGATTGGTTGAAGTTAGACATTAACATCGTTGGATGCCGGCTCATTGTCGAGTAGGTTAAGCGTCCGCACGTGAAACTGAAGGCCCTGGTTTCGAATCCCGCGAGCGGGATCGAGGATGCGCACTGCTGAGAAGTTCCACAATAGGACGAAACGGCCGTCCAATGCTTCCAGGTTTCCAATTGTGGTCTAACATCAATCGGTTCATCATCTCGATCAAAAACGTATGGAGTTGAATCGAGTTCTACTTTTATCACTGGTACTAAGATAAACAGCACTGGGGATAGACTATTGTAATTATTCATCTATCAGTTCAACTTTTAAACACAGATTATTATTTATAGTTAATATATTTCAGAACTCATTTCCGCGTTATTGAAAACGTCATGATAAGATACTGATCAGTGTTTAAAGACAAACTATAGTCATAAATACATCTTGGTTCATTCTTACGCCTTTTAGTCAAGTGATGTTAGTGAATTTACACCGATGTTGTCGCAAACTTCAGACTGTTCACAATCACTTAGGTGGTGTAGGTGAAATGTATTTACATAAAATGGCAGAACAGAATTACTTCTGTGACATGTATGTGTACATATACTGATAGATAATCATTACCTTCATACGAGCGTGATTTGATTTCCAATAACAGATCCTTGATTCTCTGATGATCTGGTTCAATTGTTAACAAACACTGACAATAGATGGTAGCATTATGATAGTCCTGCCAAACAAATAAATACAAAAGAACATTATTATCAAGGAATAAAACAATTATTCTTAATTACATTTAATTTCAAGAAGCCAACAGCCAAATGATATAAACAATCAGTTTGTAGTTTGGTCAATTTGTTGTTTTTTAAAATATCTACATTTTAAGAAATATTCATGTAAATGCAATCTGAAATTAGTATTTACATAAAATAACTTCGATAGCTTCCATTACATTAGATTTATTAGTAGTTTTCAACAAATTCACAGCATAATCTAAATACAATTTATATCTAAGTAACTTTTTATTGTGGGGTAGGTAAGTAGTTCTAAATGACACATCATTTTGACTTAATTGTCTAACTGGGTTCATTAGTTTTGATTTGAATTTTTTCAAAAATATTGAAACCAGTTCATATGTATAGAGGAAAATATAACAAATTCCGAAGTGTAGGATAATGAATGACTTTAAAATAAATGACATTTCGATTTATTTGTCACATACAAACTGATAACATCTAATCTGTGCTTAAATATATAGTGTCAGATGTAAATTTTAAAAACAAAACAGTATTACAGTCCAAAGTATTCTCACTAAATGATTCGAAGTTATTTTATCACTTTAGTCTCTATTGATTTTTACTTTAGAATAATTTGTGTGCTTAAACTATCAGTTGATTCCATGTTTAAACATCATGATATTCTTCAAAACTAATATTTAACTGAATAGTGTGTGGGTGTATGAGCAAATCTTTAGCCACTTGTGTTTATTCATTGTAAGAGACAACATCTAAAAGACTGAGCAATATAACAAGCACAAGAACAATCCTGTGAATAAAAGATGACTTTTCTAAATGAAAGGGGATCAACTGTTTCTTGATTCATTATCGTATGAAATGGATAGATAAATCAGTTACAATAGAAATAAATGCACTAGGTTGAATCAGTAGAACCTGCCAGAAGTCACCTCAACTATTGAAACAGATGAGTTGATTCTTCGTCATACTGTAGACAAGACTAGACAACAATAATAAAAATTGCCGAATCAACTCTTCAAACAAAATACTAGACAAGATTAGCACATCGATATTGACCAACTGAAAATCACGTCCCTCAACCTGTAATTTTTGCACAAGTCGGGATAAGTATTTCGAAACATGATTGGACACCGTTGATAGAACATACTCTCCAGTTTCACTTTACGTATTTTAACGAAAAACATTAACGCATTCAATTCTCCCTTACATTTCACAGTGTGTTCTTTAATTATCTCTACTGTTATGAAACTTCCTGTAATCGACATGTAACATACGTGAGGTGAAATAGGTAAACATACGGATAAGCATCACACGTGAAATAGCTCCTTGCGTTGGTCACCCGTAAAACTAGGTTGAAGTGTTTCCCATTAGAAAGCATAGATGGATTGTTATGGTTATCATATGAACATCTCAACGTTCGACACCCAACAATGAAAAACCTCCAATCTAGATTAAATGATTAAAACCTCATTAGAGTGACTGTCAGTAGAAATTTCGATAACTTTCCTGTAAACATAGAACTGTGTGTAGTCTTGATTGTTTATGACAGAATCTCGTCCAACATTTCACACAACGATTAGAAATGTTGTGAAATAGTTATGAGGCTGTAAGTGTTTTATTATTGAGAAAACATGGCTAATTCTCTTTGAAGGCCGCCATTAGTTAAAAGTGTTAAAAAATCAGTTTTGGATGACCAGATGTGTCGTATCAATTCTCAACCAATCAGTAATGAATGTCCGCACAGTGTTTTATCCAGAGTAATGCGTTGGCATATTCTACTATTAGTATACCACTGAATGGCGGAATATTTACCGGGTCTAGTTTTTAAAGTTTATCGATTCACGAGTGCATCTGGTTGAATTCGATGTCATTATCGGTTCACTGGACAACAATAAATTTTATCTCTCAGTCGACTTTAAGCTACTGATCTACGATTCTAACCAGAATTGATATAGATTATTCAAAAACGTCTGTGGATATTTTCACATTTACAAAGTGCTGGGTCATAAGATGTTTGTCTTGAAAGTTTCTTGAGTGTTTGCAGTACATTAAAGAAGATCCACATAGAACAGTCCAAATATAATGCTGATTAAACTCAGTTATGAGGAAGAGTAGTTTATTTCTTTCTCCATGTACATACATCTCATCGGTATGATGAATTCGTGTTATAACTCTTTTAGTTCTACGTTCAAACAATAAGTTACAAGGCATAAAAATTTCACGATTACACTCCTTATGTTAAATAAGTGCGTGATGAAGTTCGTGTAATCGAACTGTTACTTCCCATCCACAATTATGCATCAATAGTTAATCAGTCAAAAATATTACAATCGAAATCCATTAAGGACAACATAGGATGACTGAGCTACTAACAATCATTGCTTCTTATCAATCATGTGGTTTCATCTTGACGGATAATAATTTTCTGTTTACATTTCTAACCTGCAAAAGTTATTGTCATTCATTTCATATATAACTAACGTTAATATTCTATTTGTTCTAATGGATCCATCCAGACTTATTATCATTAGTAACAGTGAATGTTATACATACCATTATTGTTAAATATATTGAGCGATACAAGTTGCAAGTGTCGCTTTATCTATGTTTTGAAATGATTTCTTAATTAATTAGTATTTCTGTTTATTGATATTCGTCGACCGTAAGACAGTCAGTCATAGACAATGTTGAATATGGCACACATCTGAGTCGGTTCAAGTTCACAAACAATTTAGGCAGCACCAGATGAAATTGTCAAGAAAAATACGAATGGTAGAATGAGTGACAGTATCAGTAGTAGTAGTAGTAGAAAACATTAGGCTTAAACAACACGATCCGACAAGAATGAATGAGACAGCGTAATAAACGGTATAAGTTAATTTTAAATTTCAAGATCAAAGGATAGATAATTATTGAATTTATATGTTTCACTGTGGGAAAGTTTACATGAAATGTTAATATCCGCGCTCTTCTATGCTGGATTGGTTGAAGCGGAATTATTTGGTTTAAAAGTAATTGTTGTAAAGTCTATTTTTAGTTTGAGACGTTTTAAAGTTGAATTTTTATTCATTATTAGGTGGTCAACAATTGTTCATATCAAAACCTTATGATAGCCATTTACATTTTGTGAACAGTGTACGTTAATAATAATAATAATAATAATAATAATAGTAATAATAATAAATTCTCAAATATCAGTTTGTTACATGAGGCATGCCAGTTTACATGGTCACATTGTTACAAATGATAGAATTTTCACTGTAGTAAATTACTCAGCTGGGTTGATGTTTTATAAGATATGAATTTAGATGATTTTAGTCAGTATCGCAGTTGGCGCGCTTTTTGAATTCTGCAATGCGACATGCAACTGATGGTCGATAATAGATTAATATGAAGTTGGGGGCTTCTAGAAACCCCAACCTTATATACCTCTTGAATATCTGAGGCTTTAATGATGGTGCGGGACGAAATCACCCGTACCACATCTGTTTTCAGTGGCATATCTCAAGCTGGCTGTAAAATGTTGCAAGAAAAATAAACCTCGAGAAGCAGAGCAGAAAATGTTCATAAAGGAATAATTAAGGCATGACTACTCAGTCTAATTCTCTTTTATTGAAATACCTATTAAGCAAGAGCATTTTAATAGGTTAAAGAGAATAAGTGTAAGCGAGTTATGAGTGCATAAACAACTGAAAATGGAGGTGGTTCGGAAAGAAGCTGAGAGTATGGGATTATGTGTAGTGATAAAATAGTGCTGAAAACAGTATTACGATACACAAATGGCTGTCTCCCATTCTTTGTCGAAGCTGTTTGTGCCCTTTTTTTTAACTTTTATAGGGTCTTGAGTGGGCTTCGTTTTTAGCGAATTGACTAGTTTGCATGTAATAGGATTACTCGGTAGGAAGTGAAACCAATTCATCGTTATAAACACGGTTTAATGAAGTATTTAGCATGATAAATCAGCATCAATACCACCAGTTAGTGACATTCCACTAGACTATAGGGAGCCGTAATTTAACAAAATGTTCTGCCCTACATACATGAGTGGATTGAAGTTATCTCCCCACCATCATATTTGCTGGTCAGTAACGCCACCCTCCCTCCTTTTGTGATGTTAGGCTTTCTTACGTTTGTGGTAAGCATGCATACTGCTTTAATCAAAGCCTATAGTTGGAATACACTGTTTCTACTAGTTCCATGTTACAAGCAAACCAGATGGTTAAAGCGTTTGTATTATGGGTTAGATGTCCATTTACTACATCACACTTCTATGAAGATAACTAATGGTGAAAGATAAAAAACAGGTTAGATTATATGTGGTTTAAAGATAGTAAGGACTAATAGCAAATCAAATAATATGAAAGAGTATAAAATTGTGGAATTTTTAGGGTAAGAAAAATAAAACACTGAGCAACTCACAAAACTTTAGGACATTTTCGGCTTCGTATGATCGGCCTTTGTTGACCAGCATCCATAAGATTAGTGATTTATCTGTCTACTTGTAATAGAATACAAGGACATGACACTTAGGAAGAATAATGTATCTTTAACCATTAAAGAGATTCGGAAACTGAAATTGAGGGTTAGGAGCATAAGGCCATGATTAATAAACAATGAATAATAGGAAAGGATAAACCTTATGTTCTGTAATTCCGTTATATTCATATTGATAACAATGGGGCTCGTTTTATTCTTGTTCCGTCTAGATATTAGGCGGTCCATAACAAAGTGCCTCATTGGTGTACGGGAGTTCAAGGAAAATTGGAGCTCTTTAGAAAAACAGGGTTATTAGCCTTTTGAATCTGGTAAAAGTGTCACAGTTACGGATAGGTATTGGCAATCTGTTCCACAATAAACTGTACCGCACTGTAAAAAACTTACAATGCATTTGTTTTTGGTGTTTTACGGTAAGTGGTGTATATGCGTTTTTTTAGTCTATAGGCTGGGTCGTCGATTATATTCGGGCGGGATGTTAGTAATGAGAGTCTATATATCCCTTTGTAGAGAAATATTAAATTATTCTTTAGCCTACGGTGTCATAAAAGTTCTGTAGCGTGGTGTCGAGTTGAGCTTGACTATGAACACCACTACAAGACTACGTGCCAATTAACCAATAAGATTCCCGTAAGCCAATATCAGAAGGCAGATGATGGCTGTAGTCGAGATGTATTTGTTGGCGATCTCGTGGTATCGAAAGAATACCGAGATCGTGCCAAAGGAGTACAAGCGTGGTTACTGAGCGTAACCGAATTCGTACAAGTTCAAAGTCAACGGGATCGTAAGTGTAATGGCTGTCATTAACACAGTTAAACAAACAAGCACAGTAAAACAGTCACCGGTACAATTGGTTATAATAATAATTGTTTTCATTGAACCAATCGCGTTCTGCTGACAAAAGTAGGTCACTACAGGAGCCCTCCGCTAGAAAGGGTTTACACTTTCGTTTGGTAGCGGTTT